TACTCCAGATTTCGTAATAAAAGGGAGGGGGTCTGGACCCTCCAAGACAAGCCATCTCAGACCCCCCCCCGTGGGAGAACCCTCCAAAACATCGTCCCCAGACCCCCCCAGGCCCTCCAAGATAGCCTGGAGGAGACCCCCCCCGAAATGAGACCCCCCTCCCTTTATTACGGAATCTGGAGTACCCAGGGTGGAGCCGAGCAGGGGTCCTGGGACCGACTCTGAGCGGATGTGGTGGGTTCCCGCCGCGTTGGCGTGGCGGCGCCCCTTGCGCGGGCGCCCAAGTTCGAGCGTCGCTGGTTGCCCAGCGTCGGCCGGCGTCGAGCGATTCCCGCTATCGAGGATCTGTGATCGGTCAAGCTTGAACGATGCACGCGGCGTCAGGGTGCAACGCCGACCGTCGTCACTACGTGAAGTTGTCCTGTGCGCAATATTCCTTGCATCCTGGTCTTCCGATACGTACACACAGCCAGGCACCCTATGCTCATGGTTATGACGAAATATGTGTTTCTCTCTATGTATATAGATACTCATATGTATTATATATATATATATATATATATATATATCAGAGTAGGGCCCCGGGGCGGTGCCTGTCATCTCCATGGGGTGTGCAGGGCGCCCCCGGGAGCGTCCGAAGCGTCCCGGAGGGCCCCTGGGACCGCCAGGAACAGATCGAGACCGCCCAAGACGGCCCGCGAGCGCTCCAAGACGCGCATAGATAGCCTCAGGAATGGCCAGGAAGCCCCGAAGACGTTCCAAGAGAGCTCCATGAGGCCCCGAAGGCATCCCAAGAGGCCTCCCAAGAGAGCCCCGACAAGCCAAAATCGTTGATTAGTATAGTTTTTTTTCGAGGTTGTTGGCCTTCTCGCTTTTTCGGGGTTCCGACGCTCCAAGGCCGCCCAAGAGTCTCCCAAGACCGCTTCAAGACGGCCGAAGAGGCCCCCAAGACCGCCCCAAGACGGCCCAAGAGACCCCCAAAATCGTCCCACGACGGCCCAGGAGAGCCCCAAGATGGCCCAGGAGCCGCCCAAGACGGTTCCAGGAGTGCCCCGACAGGGCTTCAAGACTGCCTAAGCGAGCCCAGCGGTCCCCAAGAGGGCCCCGCGAGGCCCCAAGAGGCCCCAAAGAGGCCCCCAAGAGCCTCCCCGAAGGCCCCCAGAGGCCCCCAAGATGCCCAAAATGGCCCTGAGCGCGCCCCAAGACGCCTCCAGGAGAGCCCCACAGGCCTCCGAGAGGCCCCCAAGAGGCCCACTGGAGGCCCTCAGGAGGTCGTCCCCATCATGTTCCCGGAAGGCGGTCCGGGAACATGATTCCGCGCTTTGGAGGAGTATTCTGCGCTTTCCGAGGCGCCTTCCGAGGCGCCCTGGACGACGTACGTATGTTTCTATGCATTGTCCATCTCCTGTATACACAATCCTACATGTCTTTCGTATGTTTATATATATATATATATATATATATATATGTTTTTTATATATGTATGTGAATATGTATGTATGTATGTATGTATGTATGTATGTATGTATGTATGTATGTATGTATGTATGTATGTATGTATGTATGTATGTATGTATGTATGTATGTATATCCTTATACACACACCTCCCCCAAGCCCTCCCGAGTCGTGCCACTTCCTTCCACATGTTTCAATTTCTTCCCTATATATTTATATGTATGTATATATATATATGTATATATATACATATATATATATATGTGTGTGTGTACGCCCCAAGACGCCTCCAGGAGAGCCCAGTAGGACTCCGAGAGGCCCCCAAGAGGCCCACTGGAGGCCCTCAGGAGGTCGTCCCCATCATGTTCCCGGAAGGCGGTCCGGGAACATGATTCCGCGCCTTGGAGGAGTATTCTGCGCTTTCCGAGGCGCCTTCCGAGGCGCCTTGGACGACGTACGTATGTTTCTATAGATTGTCCTTCTCCTGTGTACACAATCGTACATGTCTTACGTATGTTTCTATATATATATATGTATATATACATAATATATATATATATATATATATATAAGAGGCCCACTGGAGGCCCTCAGGAGGTCGTCCCCATCATGTTCCCGGAAGGCGGTCCGGGAACATGATTCCGCGCTTTGGAGGAGTATTTTGCGCTTTCCGAGGCGCCTGCCGAGGCGCCTTGGACGACGTACGTATGTTTCTATAGATTGTCCTTCTCCTGTGTACACAATCCTACATGTCTTACGTATGTTTCTCTCTCTCATTCTCTCTCTCTCTCTATATATATATGTATACATACATATACATATGCGTGTGTGTATATATATATAGATATATACATACCCCTGCCCAAGCCCTGCCGAGTCGTGCCACTTCCTTCCACGTATTTCAACTTTTTCCGTATGCATATTTATATTTATATATATATATACAGATATATGTGTGTAGCCGTCCAAGAGTCCCCCACGACCGCTCCAAGACGGCCGAGGAGGCCCCCAAGACCGCCCCAAGACGGCCCAAAAGACCCCCAAAATCGTCCCAAGACGGCCCAGGAGAGCTCCAAGATGGCCCAGGAGCCGCCCAAAACGGTTCCAGGAGAGCCCCGACAGGGCTTCAAAACTGCATAAGCGAGCCCAGCGTGCCCCAAGAGGGCCCCGCGAGGCCCCAAGAGGCCCCAAAGAGGCCCCCAAGAGCCTCCCTGGAGGCCCCCGAGAGGCCCCCGAGATGTTC